GCAGTGGCTCTGATGTTCCCCCTCCCTTCCCCCCCTGCACATGCATCTAAGTATTTTGGGGGGCTTATTTTTTTGGGGGGGGGCTTATTTTAATGCATGTGCTGGAAAGCCCAATTGGGCTTATTATCCAGACATATCTTAGTTTCGGGGAAACATGGTAGGTTTTTTTTATGTTAAACATATACAATCACTTTTTAAAAAGAATTATTATCTGCCTCAAGCAGATGAATAGATTAGAAATATTAAAATGTTCTGTTGAAGTAATCCTTTAATATTTGATTAGAGAAATGACGTTTATATTATTACTGCATGGCACTTAAACACTATTTAAAACAAAATGAAGCTAGGTCCAAGTTAATTGTAGACAGTGAAGCTGATACGGTTCTGAAAGCCAGTGTATCATCTTAGTCAGGACCAATGTAGTGAATTTGATTTGAAAAAATGTCCCTGTTTAGAAAAAAGTCACATTGTGATTTGGGTGTTCATATAAATTACATTTATTTATTTATTTATCAAATTTTTATACTGCCCTTCTCCTAAAGGGACTCAGGGCGGTGTACAGCCAAGATAAAAACCCACAATATAAAAGTTAAAAAACAATTTAAAATTATTAGATAGTTTGGCCAATCATCTAAAACACAACAACCCATTAAAATAATATTTTAGGCCAGCCCTGCTTGATGGAATAATAGTGTTTTAAGGGCACTGCGGAAGATACGGAGGTCGGAAATCTGACGAATCTCCGGGGGCAGCTCGTTCCAGAGGGCAGGTGCTCCCACAGAGAAGTCTCTCCCCCTGGGGGTCGCCAGTCGACACTGTCTAACCGACGGAACCCTGAGGAGACCGTCTCTGTGGGAGCGTACTGTCAGTGGGAGGCTATCGGAGGCAGAAGGCGGTCTCATAAATATGAATGCATGGATGTTTAATTGTCCAACTATTTGGATCCATTGGGAATAAGACTCTGTAGATGCCCAAAAGAATAAGGGTTATTTTAGCATTATCATTAAAGTGGGGAGGCACTGTAAAACGGTGTTTCAAAAAAGAGTATGACTTTGATTTAGCATCTTCAAAGAAATGCTTCTAAATTACATGGAAACAAAACTCTTCTAAGATCTGATTTAGCCCATTCTGGATGAGGCTATGCTTCCCGAAAAGAGCACGTTCGCAGGTCATGAGTAATATAAATTCAGCTGGTTCATGATAAACAAATGATAGGTGTACTCAAATCTTCAAATTACAAAATAACAGAATTGGAAGGGACCTTTGAGGTCTTCTAGTCCAACTCCTTGTTCAAGCAGGAGACCCTATACCATTCCAGAGAAGTGGCTGTGTAGTCTCTTCTTAAAAACCTCCAGTAATGGAGCATCCACAACTTCTGAAGGCAAGCCATTCCACTGCTTAATTGTTCTCACTGTTAGGAAATTTCTTCTTAATTCTAGATTCCTTCTCTCCTTGATTAGTTTCTATTATTATTATTATTTATTGGTTAATCTTTAGTGAGATTCACAGCCTTTGAGGCTGGTTAATAGCTCAGCAGCTCGAGTCCTAACCAAGGACCTAGGAACTGTTAAGGTATCGTCGGAGGTTTTTTATTATTTAATTATTATTATTATTGGTTAATCTTTAGTGAGATTCACACCAATTGAGGCTGGTTAATAGCTCAGCAGCTCGAGTCCTAACCAAGGACCTAGGAACTGTTAAGGTATCGTCGGAGGATGTAAGCTGTTCCGAGTAAGGTGGTTTTTTGTAGAGTCAAAATGTTCAAGTCCGGCAAATTTAGAATTTCTAAATAGCAGGGTAGCCCTTTGGGTATTGCTCCAAGGGCTCCAATTACAATCGGGACAACACACGATTTCTTTTTCCATAGTCGCTCAACTTCAATTTGCAAGTCCCGGTACTTTGTGTTTTTTTCTTGCTGCTTATCTTCAATCCGTGCATCACCAGGTATTGCAATGTCAATGAACCATACTTTTTTCTTTTCAACTATTGTTATGTCAGGTGTGTTGTGGACCAAGTGCCTGTCAGTCTGAATCCTAAAGTCCCACAAGATCTTGAGTTTCTCATTCTCTAAAACTTTCTCAACCTGATGTTCCTAGTGGTTTTTGCTGTACTCAAATCCAAACTTCTGGCACAATTTCCAGTGAATTATCTTAGCAACATGGTCATGGCGTTGTAGGTAGTCAGTTTGTGAAATTTTGCTACACCTACTGATCAGGTGGTCGACTGTCTCATCTTTCTCATTACAGAGGCGGGATTTGCTGTTGGTGGCAACATGTTGAATTTTTGCCTTCATGCAGTTTGTGGCTAGGGCTTGTTCTTGAGCTGCCAAAATAAAGCTTTCTGTTTCTTTTTTCAGTACTCCTGATCTTAACCAGTTCCAAGTTAGTTTCTGGTCAGCTTTGCCTTCAATACTTTTCAAGTATTGGCTATGCAGAGCTTTGTGTTTCCAATTTTCAGCTCGCTGCTCAATTACTTCTTTCTTATATTCTGCTTTTGTTTTAGTTGTCTTTAAAAGGCCTCCTTTATTTACTTCCTTAATCATTGGTTCTTCACTTTTCTGGATGTAATCATTCAAGCTGCGTTTTTCTTCTTCCACAGTCTGCTTTACTTGTTTACTTGTATTTACTTGTTTACTTGTATTTACTTGTTTACTTGTATTTACTTGTTGTAAATATTATTATTATTATTATTATTATTATTATTATTATTATTATTATTATTATTATTATTATTTAAATTGTTAATTCAATTTATATGCCGCCTTTCTCCGGAGACTCAGGGCGGCTTACTATCTATCCATTGTTTCTGGTCTTGCCTTCTGGTGCTTTGGAAAGCAGGTTGATCTCTTCTTCTTTTTGACAATCCCTCAAATATTGGAATACTGTTATCATGCCACCCCTACTTGTTCTTTTCACTAGACTAGACAAACCCAATTCCTGCAACTTCTTCATATGTTTTAGCCTTCAGCCCCCTAATCATCTTTGTTGCTCTTTTCCACCTTCTTTCTAGAGTCTCTACATTTTTTTAATAATATGCTGATCAAAAATGAATGCATTACAGTATTTCAAGTATGATCTTAATAACGCTTTATCAAGCGATACTAATACTTCACATGACCTTTATTCTATTTCTCTGTTAATGCAACCTAGGATTGTATTGGATTTTTTGTTGGCTGCTCACTGATATTTAGGTGATTGTTCACTAGGACTCCAAGATCCCTCTCACAATTACTGATATTGAGCCAGGTTTCACTTAATTTGTACCTGTACATTTGTTTTTTCTTGCCTAAGTATAAAACCATACATTTATCTACACTGAATATTATTTTGTTAGATAGGGTCCAGTGTTCAAGTCTGTTGAGATCCATTTGGATCTTGAGCCTATCTTATGGAATTTTGGATATTCCTACTTCCTTCCTTCCATGTAGATGTAGTTTCATTGAGGGCTACTTGTTGAGTTTATTGTCAGCCCAATACAAATCCATCTAGTGGTGATGCTGCCTATCCCACATTTTTTTTTAGCTTAGTAAGAAGTAAGTTACGTTCTACTTTGTCAAATGCCTTATTGAAATCCAAATATACTATCCACTGTGTTTCTCTGATTCACTAATTTAGTCACTTTGTCAAAAAAGAATGACAAATTCTTTGGGGGTTTGTGGTAAATAAATTGGGCTACAATTCACCAAATTTGTCTATGTTTCAGAAACAGTTAAAACATATCAATTTAATTGTTCAGCCTGCAGGATTGGCCCATCTGATTCAGAAGACCGTAAGTAAATATTTTTTTTCTCAAAATTGGTGCTTTCTGAAGAAAGTATGGCATGTAACCAAAGTTGATCTTCTTGATGTTGTATTCCTATAGGAGTGCCATTAGAGTGAACTCTACTTTACCTGCTGCCAGCCCTGCTCTTTGAAATGAAAAAAATGGATGATATTCAATGCATCAGTCAGTGGATACTGAAAAGCACTGGATGTCTGTTTGATCATCGATTGGATCAGAGACATGAAGAATCCCTCAGAGACTTTCAATAACCATCTACTTAAATATCTCTTACATAATTTGTTTGCCTTATTTTAGAAGCTCAGCCCCCTATGATCTGTCTCTTCTTAAACTGATCACATGCTGATTTATTTTGCTTCCTCTCCTTCTGCTTTCATTTTCTTAGTTTGTTCATATCACTTTTGATTCTTTCAGCCTCATCTAAAAATCATATGAAAGAAAGCCTCTTTAATTTATCCTCATTTTCTATGTATTCATATATTTAATTATCTATTTATCCCAAATGTACTGTGTAGCTTTTGCAGTTTAGTAACTATTAAAAATATAATGGAATAAATTTTCAATCCAAACTGTCAGTAAGCCATTATCAATCTTTCTTTATGAAGTCATTATCAAGACTTTCCAACCCATAATCACAAATTTATATAATTACTAAGAATCAAACTAGTAACGTAATATTAATTTTAGTTTCAGATTGCTCATGTTAAAAAAAAGTCCTTTGTTTCTTCTTAGATTTTCAGTATCAAAATAAAATATTTTTTAAAATTAAAATACATTTTCCTAACTGAAAAACAAAACAAGAACTCCAGAAGATACAAGATATTTACACAGATCAATACAATAAAACATATGGTATCTTCCAAAATAACCACTGTATAAATAGGCTAAAAGAGTACTGATTGCTTATTTTAATATTCCAGATCACAAACTCCCAGCAAAATAATTCTATTTATTTATATTAATTAGTAGGAGATTCTTCCTCTAGTTATCTTGCAGCCACCTAAATCTAGGGTCAAAAAAACCACCAGGTGAAATTAATTTTTAATGTTCTTATTGATTGCATTGAACCTAGCATTAGGTTCTGGTTGTTTTATTTGTACAGTAAGCTTGAATGTCACTATTGTTTGGTCTGATCTGTTTGCTTTATTTATACAATAATCTTAAATGTCACTGTTGTTTGAAGCATTTAAATTATAAACAAAATATAATATCTCACTTACTCTTGTTTCAAATCAGCATCACAGTTACAATTGTATTTTGAATCAGTACAGTTACGTTCAATGCCACAGGCACATTTCTGAATGCCTGGTCCAGAGCCACCCCAATAGTACTGCTTTTCATTGGCACGCCCGATCCACCAGGTATATGGATTGCCATCTGCAAAGACAAGGAATGGAAAATTAAATGCAGCAGAGTTTCATGATACAAAACAAGGATGCTTTTATTTTATCTCATGAATCACTTAGCTCTTCTTGAAAAAAAATGCATTGATCAAACATGGTTAGATACTCTGCTTCAACTGAAGAATGTAGAATCACTAAAAAACCAATATATTTTAAATATACTGCACCCAAATCCTTATAATCTAATTGATATTTTATTTTTAGTGACAGCTGCAAGAGAAATATTGCACATTCTTAACCAGGCCACATTTGGAATATTGCATTCAGTTTTGGTCGCCATGACATAAAAAAGATGTTGAGATTCTAGAAAGAATGCAGAGAAGAGTAACAAAGATGATTAGGGGACTGGAGGCTAAAACATATGAAGAACGGTTGCAGGAACTGGGTATGTCTAGTTTAATGAAAAGAAGGATTAGGGGAGACATGGTAGCAGTGTTCCAATATCTCAGGAGTTGCCACAAAGAAGAGGGAGTCAAACTATTCTCCAAAGTACCTGAGGGTAGAACAAGAAGCAATGGGTGGAAACTAATCAAGGAGAGAAGCAACTTAGAACTAAGGAGAAATAATTATTCTAATAAACTTGTTCTAATAAACTTAGAACAATTAATCAGTGGAACAACTTGCCTGGAGAAGTTATGAATGCTCCAACACTGGAAATTTTTAAGAAGATGTTGGAGAACCATTTGTCTGAAGTGGTGTAGGGTTTCCTGCCTGGGCAGGGGTTGGACTAGAAGACCTCCAAGGTCCCTTCCAACTCTGTTATTCTATTCTATTCTATTCTATTCTATTCTATTCTATTCTATTCTATTCTATTCTGTCCATAGTTAAGTAGTCATCATTATACAGTGCATTAAGATCCCCTTCACTTTTGTCAATTTTGTTATGCTGCAGCCTGATTCTACAGTTGTTGAAATTCATGTTTTTCTCATTAATCTACACTCAGTACCCCATAATGCAAAGTGAAAACAGAAATTTAGAAATGCTTATAAATTTATTAAAAATAAAAAACCTGAAATATCACTTTGGCATAAGTATTCAGACCCCTTGCCACAACACTTGAAATTTAGGTCAGGTGCCTCCCCTTTTCTCTTGATTGTTGCTAATATGTTTCTACACCTTGATTGGCATCAACCTATGGTAAATTAAATGGATTGAACATGATTCAGAAAGACACACATCTCTCTATAGAGGGCCTCACAGCTGACAATGCATATTGTAGCAGAGCAAAAGCCATGATGTCAAAGGAACCACCTGCAGAGCTCAGAGAAAGGATTATTGCAAGGCACAGATCTGGAGAAGGCTACAACAAAATATCTGCTGCACTGAAGGTTCCTAAGTGCATAGAGGCCTCCATAACTCTCAAATGGAAGAAGTTTGGCACAACCAAGACTCTTCCAAGAGTTGGTCACCTGGTCAAACAGAACAATCAGGGGAGAGGTGACTAAGAACCTGAAAGTCACTCTGACTGAGCTCCAGAAATCCTGTATAGAGATGGAACAGAGTTCCAGAAGGACAACTATCACTGCAGCCTTCCACCAATCTAGGCTTTATGGCAGAGTGGCTAGATGGAAGTCTCTCCTCAGTGCAAAATATATGAAAGCTTCCTTGATGCTTGCAAAAAAGTACCTGAAGGACTCTTAGATTGTGAGAAAAAAGATTTTCTGGCCTAATGAAACAAGATTGAATTGTTTGGCCTGAATTCTAAATGTTATGTCTGGAGGAAATTAGACATGCTCAAAATTATCCCAACAATGAAGCATGGTGGTGGCAGTATCATGCTGTGAGGGTGTTTTTCAGCAGCAGGGACTGGGAGACTGTTCAGGCTTGATGGAAAGCTGAATGGAGCAAAGTACAGGGATATCCTCAATGAAAATCTGTTCCAGAGTGTTCAGGAGCTCAGACTGGGCTGAAGATTTACTTTCCAACATAATAATGATCCTAAGCACACAGCCAAGACAACACAGGAGTGGCTTAGGGAAAACTCTGTGAATGTCCTGCCCAGACAGAGCCATTACTTGAATCGTATTGAATATCTCTGGAGGGACCTGAAAATGGCTGTCCACCAATGATTGTCATCCAGCCTGACTGAGCTTGAGAGGATTTGCAAGGAAGAATGGCATAAAATCCCCCAATCCAGGTGCAAAGCTTGTCACATCATGCCGAAAGGCTAAAGGTACTTCAACAAAGTACTGAGTGAAGGGTCTGAAACTTATGCCAATGTGATATTTCAGTTTTCTCTTTTGTAATAAATTTACAGACATTTCTAAAATTTTGTTTTCACTTTATCATTATGGGATACTGTGTGTATTATGAATCCTACTCAATTCTTTGAATATATGCTGGGTGGTTCTCAAATAAAACTAATAGGTTATGGGTCCAAATCCCAGTCAGCCAGCCGATAAACACAGTCAAATTGAAGAAAAAGGATTGATGCTCAGTATGAAACTGTAATTAAGCTGAGAGACTGCCTGTGTTATAAACAAAAGGAAACAAGGCAGAGAAGGCTTGCAGGATGGGTGTTTATTTCAAGGAGAGCTCTCTGCCTCGATTGGGACAGAAGAATTATCTTATTTGGGCTACAAAATTGGAATGCTTCCTGAAGGCTAAGGAGCTTCATCATTAATCCGCTCGAGGGTCCATTAACAGCTGCAAATTAACGGTGGCATGATAAGGCACTGGCTTACATCATTTTATGTTTGGATGATGAACAATTCTTAAATGTAGCTGATTTAAAAACTGCAAAGGAGGTTTGGCTGAAATTGAAAAGTGTATATGTGAGTGTATCAACCTGCAATATTGTGCAATTATTGAGACATTTGCTGCTGCCATAAGAGAGCATAGAAAAGTATCTGCTGCACATGCAGACACTATTTGTTGTATTAGAACAGCGTGGAATGCAAATTCCTGAATCTCAGAAAGTGCTGTTGGTATTAAATAGTCTTGTTGAAATGTGGGACATCATTTCAGCCGTTCAGCAAACCAGAACAGGGATTACGTATGGAAGCCTTTAAAGCCTGTTTGATTTCTGAAGAACAAAAACAAAAACAAAATTTTAGAAGAAACCATGAGGAGAAATTTTTATTTATTTATTTATTATGTCAAGCATGTATTAGATAACTGATATAAGTATAAACATGATTATGAATACATGAAATGGATACAAATAAAAGGGAATATTAGGACAGGGACAGTAGGCACGCTGATGTGCTTATGCACGCCCCTTAAAGACCTCTTAGGAATGGGGTGAGGTCAACAGTAGATGGTCTAAGGTTAAAGTTTTGGAGGTTTGGAGAAGAAACCACAGAGTCAGGTAGTGCATTCCAGGCATTGACTACTCTGTTGTTGAAGTTGTATTTTCTGCAATCAAGTTTGGAGTGGTTTTCCTTAAGTTTGTATCTATTGTGTGCTCATGTATTGTGGTTGAAGCTGAAGTAGTCATTGACAGGTAGGATATAGTAGCAGATAATTTTATGTACTATGCTTACTTAGGTCAGACTGAGGGCAGCAAAGTTCTAAGATATCTAAGCCCTAAATTTCGAGTCTGGTGGCATAAGGTATTCTGTTGTGAACAGAGGAGCAGAGGACTTTTCTCGTGAAATATCGCTGGACTCGTTCAATTGTATTAATATCCGATATACAGTGCGGGTTCCAGACAGATGAGCTGTATTCAAGAATTGGTCTAGCAAAAGTTTTGTATGCCCTAGTTTGCAGTACAATATTACCGGAGAAGAAGCTAGGCAAGATTAGTTTAACTCCTCTTAATGCCTTTTTGGCAATGTTGTTACAGTGAGCTCTGGCACTTAGATCATTAGAGATGAGCACTCCAAGGTCCTTGACCAAGTGAGGATCGTCTACGAGGTCGTATCTGCCCAGCTTGAATTTTGTGTTCTGATGTTTTTTTGCCAATGTGTAAGACAGAGCATTTGTTGGTTGAGACTTGGAGTTTTATTTTTATTTTATTTATTTTTATTTTATTAAATTTCTATACCGCCCTTCTCCCGAAGGACTCAGGGCGGTGAACAGCCAAAAGATAAAACATGGAGATACAAAATTTAAAATAGATTAAAACAGATTAAAAAATTTGGCTAAATTTTAAAAATATCCCATAATTAAACTTAGTGTTTAAAATTTAAATTTAAAAATTTTAAAAGGGAGAAGATTTAGGCCAGGCCAGCTTGATGAAATAAAAACGTTTTAAGCGCGCGACGGAAGGTGCGCAGATCCGGGATCCTCCGTATCTCCGGGGGGAGCTCGTTCCAGATCATAGGTGCCCCCACAGAGAAGGCTCTCCCCCTAGGGGCCACCAGTCGGCATTGTTTGGCCGACAGCACCCGGAGCAGCCCCTCTCTATGGGAGCGTACTGGCCAGTGGGAAGCTATTGGTGGTAGCAGGTGGTCCCGTAGATAACCAGGTCCTAAGCCATGGAGCGCTTTAAAGGTGGTAACCAGAATCTTGAAGCTCACTCGGAAGACCACCGGGAGCCAGTGCAGCTCGCGCAGGAGAGGTGTTACATGGGAGCTCCACGTTGCTCCCATAACCACCCGCGCGGCCGCACTCTGCGCCAGTTGGAGCCTTCGAGTGCACCGCAAGGGGAGCCCCATGTAGAGAGCATTACAATAGTCCAGATGAGAGGTGACGAGGGCATGAGTGACTGTGTGTAGGGAGTCCCAATCTAGAAAAGGACGCAACTGGCGGATCAGGTGAACCTGATGAAAAATCCTCCCGGTCACGGCCGTCAAGTGCTCTTCTAGAGACAGCCGTGAATCCAGGAGGACGCCCAAGTTGCGAGCCCTTTCCGTGGGGGCCAATGATTCACCCCCAATAGTCAGCGATGGCACCAGCTGACTATATCGGGACGTCGGAAACCACAGCCACTCAGTCTTGGATGGGTTGAGCCTGAGCCTGTTCCTCCCCATCCAGATCCGTACGGCCTCCAGGCACTGGGACATCACTTCAAGGGCATCGTTTGGGTGG